AAAATTTTTCATAAATCTACTTATTATAGTTTTCTTCAAACTCATTCACTAGGGCAGCAAGGGGATTCCTACCTAATACTATTAGAACTAGTAATCACCCGTATCGCACGGAAAAATTACTATATATGTGTTTTTCAGAAGGCAAATTTATATATAAATTGTGTAATACTGCAATGATCAGATCATAAGAATAGACATATAAACATATAATTAAACTCACAAGATCATATATTATTGAACACTTCTTATATACAACATTATTGGTTTGATTCTTTGACACTTTCTTATAGGACATGGTTATGATATCATAAGAAAGCTGGACGGATTTGTTTTGATCTTTTGATTTTCGGTTGAGGTCCGAAATTTTGTAGTCGGAAAAGTTGATAACCGGAAATGAAGTTGGGTTTATATATCGATTTTGTTGTTTTATAGACGGATCTGGTCTAATATTTCAATTATAAGTCGAGATCTTTTAAATATGAAGTCGAACAAGATGAAAATCAGAAAGGAAGTCATTCGTTTTTTAAAATGGTCTTAAATATGAAACTGATCTTTTGTTTTTGTAGCTTTTTCAAAATTTTTAACATATTCAAATGAAATGTGGTCTTGAACATTAAAACTCCCAAGGTAAGAGTTACTATAATATTGTCGTAGTTTATATTCGGACCTATTGGCTTTCTTATTGTTATCTGTTTAACCAATATCATTCTTGTCCTAAGTGATGAGCTATTTTAGGTTTGAACATGCTATAAATTGTATGTTATAAAATAGTCCATGAATTGGTAGACACAACACGATTGGATTATGAAAATGTCTCATTTCATCATTAGAGTTATGATTATCTCATCAGAAGGTGAGCTAAATAAAAAAATACTAATAATTTCATCTTATTTTACTTTTTTTTTTTTTATCTACAACAGTACTAACACAATTAAAAAAGTACAATGTAAATATTGTTGTTTATTTTCTTATAAAACATTACAATGATTGCTCTAGAAGTTCAGCTAAAAGGTTTATGTTGACTGCTGTAAATGTCAGACCTCTGGAAATGTGTGTAATTACCGAATAACATTGATTCATCGATCTTATTGTGATGTATCTTCTAAAATCAAAACAGAAATTGGAAAGTCGCCCTTGTACCTTATGTGTTCAGTTATATCATGACTGAAATTAGTCTGTATTGTGCAATGGTTGACCTATACATGGCAATATTACTCTCAATCTGATAGTTCTGAATTACATAGACAACACCTTCTTTGAATTCATTAACTAAACTTGGGATGTTTATTGCTCTTATTATTCTTGAAATTCAACCCCTTGTAAAATAAAAAAAAAATAATATTAAAAATTTAAAGCAAGAAAAAAATGAGAATGAGAATTGATTATTAAGTTTGATTGTGAATCATACCTCAGTGTCATGAAAGACAATTTCAACGATGTTCTTGTAGGATAATTATTCATTACGCCTTTCAAAAATTCGAACCACTCTTAGCTTAATCATATGCCTGTTGGTCCTTGTTATTCGCTTGACGTTGCCCCCATGCTTTTGCCATTTCTCTGCTGGTATGTTCAATTGTTGAGGGTATGAAATGAGTTGCGGTAGGTGATGTTCCACGTTTGCAATTTATAGGAATGTGATAATTGGTTTTATATTAATTATACCATTTAAAAAATGAGTTTTATAAATAACAAATTTTGATTTGATGATAAGATAAGGTTAAAGGTTTTGAATAATAAATTATTTGGTTTGTTTTTTTAGATCATTTGAGTATTACATGTGCACGTGTGTCCTATTTAAAAGAATTTCTGTTGTGTAATGTTTATATGTATATGCATAAGAATACCATAATTATGAGATTCAATTATTAAAAAATGTATTTTATTGTATTTAATTAAGTGATGAGACGGTAAATTCAAATTAAAATTTACAATTTGAAATTATGTCAGGATAAGTCTATCTATTTAATGTTAAATTATTTTGGGTTGTTTGTTTAGAATTGTTATTTGTGTGGAAACTTCATGTTAAGATTGTTTAAGTTAAGATTTCTTTTTCCGTGTAGAAAGATGATTAAAAATGACTAAGAGAATGTTCACGTATTTCCTCTTTAAATGAATTTCTGTTAGTATCTATTACTATATAATACGGAGAAAAAAAATTATTTGAACAATTCGAAAATAATCATTTCGTTTTCCCGCTTCAATACAGTGTTTTCCCGCTTCTTCAATTCGTAATTTTTTTTTTTTGAATTTTTTCAGCCCATGCAATTAGGTAACCAATCAAATCGAATCTTTTAGCATTTAATTTGGTAAGGTGTTCCGATTTTAGCATTCAAATCCGATTTCACTTCCTTTTTTTATGCCAATCAATCCAATTTTTTTGGTTGTTTCAAAATTTGTTTAGATTTATATTTTTATTTTATTAATATATTTGAAAGAGAATCCATAAATATTTATCATAACTTTTATTTTAAAAATAAATTTGAATAAGCATACCTTTTACTTTATATGAAATTCAAAATTACATATTTTAATATATTAATAAACGTTTATTATTTATTTTTTCCTTATGTGATATAATAGAATTTCGGTATAAATTTGTAAATTCAAACATTTAAAGGAAAAGATTCCAAATAATTTTTTTGGGTAAATTTCATTTTATCTTGGTTTTCATTATCACATTTCTAACAAACTAATTAGTATTATATTTTTTTTATCTACATTATCTAACCGATTTTTTATGATACAATTAATATAATATCTTAACAAATTAATCATTTGTCTAACCGGATTTATCTCTCTAACAAACTTGTCAATTTCTTTAAAATTAAAATGGTATGATTATTCTTATGGAGATACTTGCCAATATATTAAATATTTAGAAACTTTTTTTAAAAAATGAGTTATCACTCATTTTACTTTATTTGAAATTCTGACTTATATTTTTAAATATATTATTATTTATATTTTTTACATGTAAATATTTATTATTTATTATCTAAGTGATAAATATTATTGATTTATCTCTTTAATAAATATTTATTATTTATTTTTTTCCTTACGTGGTATAATGTAAATTTGGTTACTAGATTTTTAATTTCAAACATTTAAGAAAAAACCACGAACAAATTTTTTGGTTACATTTCATTTTATTTTAACTTTCATATAATCACAATCCTAACAAACTAATTAGTATAATATTTTTTTACCCATTTTTATATAATCGAATTTCTTAAAATATAATTAATATAACATTTTAACTATTTAATCATTTGTATAACTTGATTTAACTCATTATCAAACTTGCCAATTTTTTTTTTTGAAATTAAAAAAAATTTGGAAGATTTTTATTTGTAAAATAATAAAAAATAGCTTTACTTTAAAGTCTGGATTATTTCCATTATTTTTTGTACGTTAACAATCATATATTTTGGATTATTGATTTAAAAAAACAAATCAAAACCGTAAGGTTTAATAATATTCCTTAAATAAAAAATATTGTATAAAGAAAAGTATTTAATATTATATATTTTTCATTGATTGTATTTATTTTATTTTCATAATAGACGAGATGTGAAAAATATAAATAATTATATTTAAAATAAAGTCTAAAAAATGTTTAAAATATGAACTCTTCCGTGCATGGCACGGGATATACACTAGTTATAGAGTGATATTCAAATAATAATATTATATAATAATATTGTTCAATATTAAGTATTTAGATCTCTTATATTTATTATGTTGTTCAAACGTGTTGTTAAAATTATGATAGACATATGTAATGTACACGTGTTGTTTAAATTATGATAAGATAAGTGTGCATGAATTAAATTTTAAATTATTTTGCTTATTTGTTTAGAAGTTTTATTAGTGTGAAAATTTCATGATAAGAATGGTGCTGAATGTTCATAGATGCATTTCTAACATGTCCTAAAATATGTATTTTTCTGTTACAATTTATATTCATAGATGCACTTCAGATATCATTTTTNTTGTCTTTTTTGGAATTGTAACATTATTAATGTAGTGTTATAGTCGGGTCGGGGCCTATCTCAGAGGGTTATTGTAATTTGATTTCTCAATTTGGAGAGAGTAAATCTCTAGCAACAAGTGATAAATAACGAATCGTGGGTTCAGAAGTCGATGCTTGACAGCTCAAGTTTAACAAAGTTCGAGTTGAGTCGCCCCAAATTTAAACTCGAGTCAAGCTTGAGCTTGTGGTTAATAAGTTTTAGTGCTCGACGAGTCTCTTGAATATACGTAAAATTACATAAATACCTACAACTTGACATGTTTTATATATATTTCGATGCGATCTCGAGCAAAAGACAAGTCGACTTCGAGCTTTTCCATTTTTGGTTGAGTCGAGTCGAACCTAGAAGTATTGAACTTATCGGGTTTGAGCAATAGCCAGTAGTAAAAAAGTCGAGGCTATGTCAATAAAAACATTGTTCAACTCGACTAGACTCGTTTGCAGCCTAGTGACATAAGAAAAGTAATTGCTGATAAAATTTTCTATTTTGTTAGTAGTATTCTCTACAATTCTCTACATATATATTTGTTGATATTACTTTGCACCTAGAAGTTGTTTTATATTCTTCTTTTCTAACTGAAGGATGTGTTCGACGAGAAAAAGTGAAAAATGTATAAAACAAAAGAAAAAAATGATGTTGTTTATGAATAAATGTACAATGAATTTTATGAATTAGTAATGATTGATTTTTAAATTTTTAATTTAAATAATGTTAGTAGTGAAATTAGAATAAGATAATATAATATGGATGAATGAAAAAAAGTTGGATTGTATTTGATTTAGATTATAACCTAAAAAACCCAACTTTAATTTTTCTTCATAAATCGCGTTCTAATCCTAGCGACATCAGACTTTGTCGAACCACGAGTGAATAATGTCCTATCCAAATGCCGTCGTCAGCAAATCTTTTCTTGGTGGTGATTTTTTGCCTATCTTTTCTTTGTGGTGATTTTTTGCCTGAGGACCAAATAAAAAAGAAAGAAAAAAAAATAGTTGAAAAATAGAGCTCACCACCTGTTTGATAAAATGTCGCAGTGTCTGAGATTGCGGCCTCCATGGGCCCACCGTTTCGAGGAGCTTTCCCGTGTTCAATGCGCGAGACCCAGAAAGGCCTGCCAGCTCACCGTTCGCAGTTGCTCCACAGTTCCTCAAAATACTCGCAAGGTATATTGTCTTCCTCTTGCCTTTTGTGTAATTTTTGTTTTGATTTATTGTTCACAGGTGATTTATGTTGTTTGTATTAGTGTCATGTTTTTGTTTGGTGGGATTATTTATTTGTTTATTTATTTATTGGCCTTCAATTGTCTTTTTGATCATTTGCTGAGGAGTTATTGGGGTACATCACAGAAAATTGTGGAAATTGAATTTGTTCAATTCTCAACTATTTTATCCAGTTGAAGAGAAGGGCTCAGTAAAAGTCACATACTTTTTGCATTTTGTAATGTTCTTTATCACATTTTGTGAATAAACCCCTTGAGTTGGTACTTTTATGATCTTGCTGAAGTTAGAATTATATAAGTTGGAATCATAATGATTCGATTGATGAAATCAAATGGTTGATGAGCTTTTTCATGGTGCAGTTAGTGGCAGAGGTTAAAGAAAAACTCGAAAAAGAACATAAGAATCTCCCAATTGGGAAGTACGGAAGAGATGACGAGGACATGATCCTTTGGTTTTTGAAGGATCGAAGGTTTTCAGTTGACGAAGCTGTCTCAAAATTGACCAAAGTCATTGTAACAATTATAATAACTTTTCATAGCATCTTTGTTTTTCATTTCCTCTNATTTTTGTTTTTCATTTCTTATTTTCATTTCTTTTTTTTTTTTTATTTGCTTTTACTTCCCCTAGAAAATTATATTGAAACAAAAATAAAGAAAAATATGTTCTCTTGATTTGCATTCACTATGGGATTTTATCTTCTACTTCAACAGAGATGGCGAAAGGAATTTGGCGTATCGGGTTTATCAGAAGAATCAGTGTATCGCTCTGCAAAAACTGGTAAAGCTTATCTGCACGAGTGCTTGGATGTAAAAGATAGACCGGTTATAATAGTGGATGCATCAAAACATTTTCCTGGGGTATGTTATTCAAACTGCTTATATCTTTATTGACGTATCAGTAAAGTTATGTACAAAATGCTTTGTTGAGAAAATGAACACTAAATGAACCCTCTGAAGTTCGTAAAGTGGAATCATATGTGAAAATTGTATCATTTGCTCGAAAAAAAAAATTAAAAAAATAAAAGTATGATACACTGATAAATCAAGATATTCATCAACACAGGAGCAAGAACCTTCTGAAGATGAGAAGCTATGCGTGTTTTTGATCGAGAAGGCACTTGCCAAGCTCCCACATGGAAATCAAGAAATACTTATTGTTATTGATCTACGAAAGTTCCAGACACAGAATGCCGATATTAAGTTTGTAACTTTTATGGTAATCTCCAAAATCTGTGCATAGTACTATCAATTATCAGATTTAGTTAAGCGAAAGTGCAGCCTTTGAATGGTTTTTGGTTTGACATCCAGATTGAGAAGAAATTGAATACAAATATATGCGAAATTTATTCGAAAAAGGTTTAATTTTTAATTTTTATGCTTTCTCTCGGTTTTATGTGCAAGTTTGATGCATTCTACTGCTACTATCCGAGGAGATTGGGTCAAGTTCTGTTCGTGGATGCCCCGTTTATATTCAAGCCCATTTGGGGGCTTGTTAAGCCCCTGGTAAAATCATATGCCTCTTTGGTAAGTATTTTTATATAATAACTATAAACATTTCATTTCTAAATGCCATCCAATTCTTAATGCTCGTATTCGTGTTTATAAAATCAGTGCAACTATAAATGATTGCGAACAAATGATAGTCAGACTTTTTTTCCTTCATTTTTTCAATATTTTTGACATGCTGTAACTTTTGCAGGTGAGGTTTTGCACGGCAAAGGATGTAAAAGAAGAGTATTTCACGGCAGATACTGTCCCGGCTAGCTTCCGAGAGTGAAATGGAAGGTTTAACTTGAGTTAGATCAAACTATTTAATTCTCCCTTTGGACACATTCTTGAGTTTGAATAAAATGAAAAGCTTTCTACTTTCAAGAAATCAGAAGACAGAAAATGGATAGTGTTATGGGTGTAAATGTAAATCAGATTTTGAAGGACTATTGTTGTAATATTTTATCGTGGAACCAACATAAATTGGGGACCTTGTGAGGTGCAATTTAAAAAAAAAAAAAATATATAGAGAATCCAACACATTGTCAGTCGATTTAACGGGTCAAATTCTATTGATTAGTCGATCAGTCGCATTTTTAAGAATTTTGCTCCGGAAGTAATTATATATAATAAACTAAAAAGTATTTTTTTGCCCACCAAATTTAAAGAAAAAAGTTACTCTTTAATCACATTTTCCCACCTAAATTTTGTTAGCATTCATTTAATTAAAAATTAATTATTGCCACATATCTCTTTTATACAAATTATTGTTGATCTACTCGTATTTTTTAACTATCAATTATTTTTTTAAAATTATTTTTATATTATATCAATTTAACTATTACATCTCAATCTCAAATTACAATATCCAAATTAAAAATAAAAAAATCATCTCCTCACTAATAAAATAAAAAGAAAATATTTAAACATATATGAAACCCATACCTTATAAAAAACAATTAAATAATTTTACAATTTATTGTGAAATATATTTTTTAGCTATGTGGTCACTTTCCTTATTCACTAGGAGATGGACATCACACCATGTAGTTGGTCTGTGTGTTAAAACGGTACAATATTTGGCTAACATACTTTTTTCATAAAATCTACATACTTTCATTAGAAAATATTATATATTAAAATATAACATATAAAAAATTATGAAAATTGATAGCATATATATTTTTTTATTTATGTAATATGACGAATATTATTATTCAAATCGACTCTGCTAATGATCCGTGAGTACCAAAAAAAAAAAAAATTCGTGGGCACAGAAGAATATGTGACATATAAAACAAGGAAAAATACTCACCTATTTTCTTCTGTTATCTCCATTCTCAACAAACGCATTAATAAAACTTCAGCTTATAAAACGTGTTTATCATGCTTTCACCTTTTTAGTTTATACAGCCTCGTCGTATTTCCAATCCGCTGACTCCATCGTCTTCATCTTTCTTGCATAATCGTTTGCTCCCAACAAAATGGGGATTCAAAGGATTCCTGTTTTGGCAATAACCTTATCCTTCATCGTTTGGGTGGTTTTGATTTTGCAAAAAATCGAGTGCAGAGATTTAGAATCGCCTAAGTACACAGTGGTGCACTCAGAATCTGATTTTGAGATTAGTTTTTACAGAGAAACCGTTTGGATGTCTGTGCCTTCCGATGAGATTTCGTTTGAGAAAGCCACAAAAGATGGATTCCACAGGTGAGACCTTGTGTTTGTGTGTGTTTTTTTTGAAATAAAAATTGTTCATTTTTATATAGATATATCAGTTTGTTTATTGGTTTGCTGCTGTTTTTTGATTGTTTGTGGGATGATTGATAAAGGGAATGAGATTGTAGTTAGCTTTGATGTTATATGGTTCTTGGGCTTGCAGAAAGTTAGCTACTTTGTAGTTGTAGGGTAGGTTCTTTGGTGATTTTTGTTTTTCCTTTTTGTTTGTTTATATGTTCGGTGAATTTTTTTTTGAATCTTTGACTGGTTCGATTTTCTTCGAATTTCTTTCATGAAGAGATACTGTAAATTACACTAGAAAACTCATTACATGCTGTAGACACTGGTCACTTTAGTTGTTCTGAGAATCCATTTGATTGCCTCCCAATGCTCCTTCCCGGGGTTAGAAAGAAAACGACTCACTACACCCATTGCATGAGCAATATCTGGCCTGGTACATACCATTGCATACATCAAACTTCCAACTGCTGAAGAGTATGGCACTGTAGACATCTCCCCCACCTCTTCCTTGGATGTGGGACATGATCTTTTGCTCAACTTGAAATGATTCGCAAGTGGAATACCTACTGGTTTGGCATCACTCATATTGAATATTCGTTCAATGTACTTCTTATGAGATAGCCATAACTTGCCATTCCCTCGGTCTCGAGTAATCTGCATCCCAAAAATCTGTTGAGCATTTCCTAAATCTTTCATATCAAAAGACTTGGAAAGTTCTTTCTTCAGCTGGCTTATCTTTTCTGCATCATTCCCAACGATCAACATGTCGTCGATGTACAGTAGAAGAACTATGAAAGCCCCGTTTGAGTATTTCTTGATGTACACACACTCATCTGCAGTAGTCTTCTTGTAACCTTGACTCTGCATGCATGAGTCAAACTTCTTATTCCACTGCCTTGGTGCTTGCTTCAGGCCATACAAGCTTTTAGAAAGCTTGCACACGAGGTTCTCACTTGAAACCTCAAAACCTTCTAGCTACTGCATATAGATTTCTTCTTTCAAATCTCCGTGAAGAAAAGCTGTCTTCACATCCATTTGTTCAAGCTCCAAATTCATACTTGTTGCCAAACCACGTATGACTCTAATTGAGGTCATCTTGACAACTGGTGCAAAGATCTCGTCAAAATCAATCCCTTTCTTCTGCTGAAAGCCTTTGACAACTAACCGAGCTTTGTGTTTCACCACTTGTCCATTTGCATCTTTCTTCAGCTTGAACACCCATTTGTTTTTCAAAGCCCTTTTCCTTTCTGGATGTTTAACAATCTCATAAGTTTGATTTCTCTGCAGAGAATCTAACTCTTCCTGCATCGCAATCATCCATTTTTCTTTATCCTTATGAGATATGGCTTCTTCAAAACTCTCTGGTTCTCCATCTTCTGTCAATAGAAGGTATTCAGATGATGAGTACCTTTTTGATGGTATATGACCTCGTTCAGATCTACGAGTGGGTAGAACCATCTGACAAGAACTTTCAACGTTGGTGTCTGACAAAATGGGTTGTGGCTCCCCTTGCTCTGGCAAGATGGATTGTTTCTCCCCTTGCTCTGCACTCTCTTCTGTCTCCTCCTCTTCTTCTGGTAGATCATCTTCATTGTTTCTCCAGAACAATTCTGGTGATTCATCTGAAACTTGAGCACCCACATTTGATTTCTGAGACATCTTGTGCTTTTCTATGTCTTCTATTGTCAAATTCTCTTGGAACACAACGTCCCTACTTCTGATCACCTTTTTCTCCTTTGGATCCCAAAATCTGTATCCAAACTCCTCATCTCCATAACCAATGAAAATGCATGGGATGGACCTCGCATCGAGCTTCTTTCTGAGCTCTTTGGATACATGTGCATATGCTACACAACCAAATACTCTGAGATGTGAGTATGTCGGATCCTTACCAGTCCATATTCTCTCTGGAACTTCAAAATTTAATGGAACTGAAGGTGATCGGTTGATTTATGTTGTTTGTATTAATGCATGTTTTTGTTTGTTGGGATTATTATTATTATTTTTTTTTTTTTTGGCCTTCAATTGTCTTTTTGATCATTTGCTGAGGAGTTATTGGGGTACATCACAGAAAATTGTGGAAATTGAATTTGTTCAATTCTCAACTATTTTATCCATTTGAAGAGAAGGGCTCAGTAAAAGTCACATACTTTTTGCATTTTGTAATGTTCTTTATCACATTTTGTGAATAAACCCCTTGAGTTGGTGTTGTGGTATCATCCCAAGATCATACTCATAATTGAGAGAAAAATAAGTTTCTATTACTCACAAGAATAAAAACAAGAGATTTACAAACTCTAAAACAAAAAACTCTCAAACTCTCCACAACTCTTCTTGGTTGTGTTTCAACACTCTCAAGGTTGATTGATCATACTTTTGGATGATTTGAATGAATAAAATAACAAGCCTATTTATAGGCAAGATTGAGCACACCTTTGTTGATGAATGTGTGTGAATGAGGATGGTTGGTGGATGGAAGAAATTCTTCATTTGTGTGCTACAATTTGCATGAAATTTCATAGCTAGCCATTGATGACTTTTGTGTGTTGCATGGAACTTTCAATTCTCCCCTTTCCATGCAAGTTCTGAACAAGCATTCCTACTATGTCTCTGCATAGCTTAAGCCTATCCAGTGTAATCACTTTTGTCAACATATCTGATGGATTCTTCTTCGTATTGATCTTCACTAGTTTCAACAGCTGTTGATCAATCTTCTCGCGTATCCAGTGATACTGAACATCAATATGCTTTGTGCGGGCATGGTACATAGAGTTCTTTCTTAAGTCAATAGCACTTTGACTATCACAATAAACCTTATACTCTTTCTGCTTGATCCCAAGTTCATGGAGATAACGTTTTAGCCACAACATTTCTTTACCAGCTTCAACGGCAGCAATATATTCAGCTTCTGTTGTGGATAAAGCAACACACTTCTGCAATCTTGATTGCCAAGAAATGTCTCCCCCTGCAAAAGTGTAGACATAACCCGAAGTAGACTTTCGACAATCAATATCTTCGGCCATATCAGCATCAGTATATCCTTCCAAGATTGGATCAGCTCCTCCGTAACAAAGACATAACTTAGAAGTACCCTTTAAGTATCTGAGAATCCATTTGACTGCCTCCCAATGCTCCTTCCCGGGGTTAGAAAGAAAACGACTCACTACACCCACTGCATGAGCAATATCTGGCCTGGTACATACCATTGCATACATCAAACTTCCAACTGCTGAAGAGTATGGCACTGCAGACATCTCCCCCACCTCTTCCTTGGATGTGGGACATGATCTTTTTCTCAACTTGAAATGATTCGCAAGTGGAATACCTACTGGTTTGGCATCACTCATATTGAATCTTTCAAGTATTCGTTCAATGTACTTCTCTTGAGATAGCCATAACTTGCCATTCTCCCGGTCTCGAGTAATCTGCACCCCAAGAATCTGTTGAGCCTTTCCTAAATCTTTCATATCAAAAGACTTGGAAAGTTCTTTCTTCAGCTGGCTTATCTTTTTTGCATCATTCCCAACGATCAACATGTCGTCGACGTACAGTAGAAGAACTATGAAAGCCCCGTTTGAGTATTTCTTGATGTACACACACTCATCTGCAGTAGTCTTCTTGTACCTTGACTCTGCATGCATGAGTCAAACTTCTTATTCCACTGCTTTGGTGCTTGCTTCAGGCCATACAAGCTTTTAGATAGCTTGCACACGAGGTTCTCACTTGAAACCTCAAAACCTTCTGGCTGCTGCATATAGATTTCTTCTTTCAAATCTCCGTGAAGAAAAGCTGTCTTCACATCATACTTGCTGCCAAACAACGTATGACTCTAATTGAGGTCATCTTGACAACTGGTGCAAAGATCTCGTCAAAATCAATCCCTTTTTTCTGCTGAAAGCCTTTGACAACTAACCGAGCTTTGTGTTTCATCACTTGTCCATTTGCATCTTTCTTCAGCTTGAACATCCATTTGTTTTTCAAAGCCCTTTTCCCTTCTGGAAGTTTAACAATCTCATAAGTTTGATTTCTCTGCAGAGAATCTAACTCTTCCTGCATCGCAATCATCCATTTTTCTTTATCCTTATGAGATATGGCTTCTTGAAAAATCTCTGGTTCTCCATCTTCTGTCAATAGAAGGTATTCAGATGATGAGTACCTTTTTGATGGTATATGACCTCGTTCAGATCTACGAGTGGGTAGAACCATCTGACAAGAACTTTCAACGTTGGTGTCTGACAAAATGGGTTGTGGCTCCCCTTGCTCTGGCAAGATGGATTGTTTCTCCCCTTGCTCTGCACTCTCTTCTGTCTCCTCCTCTTCTTCTGGTAGATCATCTTCATTGTTTCTCCAGAACAATTCTGGTGATTCATCTGAAACTTGAGCACCCACATTTGATTTCTGAGACATCTTGTGCTTTTCTATGTCTTCTATTGTCAAATTCTCTTGGAACACAACGTCCCTACTTCTGATCACCTTTTTCTCCTTTGGATCCCAAAATCTGTATCCAAACTCCTCATCTCCATAACCAATGAAAATGCATGGGATGGACCTCGCATCGAGCTTCTTTCTGAGCTCTTTGGATACATGTGCATATGCTACACAACCAAATACTCTGAGATGTGAGTATGTCAGATCCTTACCAGTCCATATTCTCTCTGGAACTTCAAAATTTAATGGAACTGAAGGTGATCGGTTGATTAGATAACATGCGGTCTTGACAGCTTCTCCCCAAAATGGCTTTGGTAATTTAGCCATATTCATCATGCTTCGGACACACTCCATGATAGTCCGATTCATTCTTTCAGCAACGCTGTTGTGCTAAAGGGTACGTGGTACTGACTTCTCATGTCGAATGTCATATGCCCTGCAATATGCATTGAACTCCTTGGAAGTATACTCGCCTCCATTATCAGATCGGAGACATTTCAGCTTCTTTCCTGTTTCACGTTTCACCATGACGTGAAATGACTTGATGTACTCGAACACATGGTCCTTCGTATTCAGGAAATATACCCACACCTTTCGAGAAGCGTCATCAATGAAAGTCAGAAAGTATCTGCTTCCACCCAATGATTCAACCTCCATGGGACCGCAAACATCAGAGTGTACCAAGCTTAACAACTCTGATCTCTTTGTTGAACTTGCATTGAATGAAACTCTATGTTGCTTGCTGAACAAACAATGACTGCAAGAACCCAATACATCACTCTTATCAACCTTGATAAGATCCTTCTTCATCTGGGTAGTCAACCCTTTCTCACTCATATGGCCAAGTCTCTGGTGCCATAGATCCTGGGAAGCCTCCTCTGCAACATTGAGACTTTCTGTACTGATCTTCAAATGTGTTTTGTACAGCGTCCCACAAACATGTCCTTGGGCAATTTTCAGAACACCCTTTGACAACTTCCATGCGCCTGCACCAAAGTGATTTTCATATCCTTCTTTGTCAAGAGCCACCACTGACAAAAGATTCAGTCTAAGATCCAGCACATGTCTAACATCCTTCAATAGGATTGTACTCCCGGTTCCTGTCGTTGCCTGGATATCACCAATTCCGGCAATATTAGAGGAACTGGAATTTCCCATCTTCACCGATCCAAAGTCTCCAGCTTGGTATGTTGTGAAGTATTTCCTGTTGGGAGTAACATGATAGGATGCTGCAGTATCTACCACCCATTCCATGTCTTCTCGTGAGACATGAAGGCATGTCTCACCATGGGTAGAGCAATATGCTACCTCCCCTGAGACAGTGATGAGAGTTTCACCACCCTTGCCCTTGTTCTTCTGCTGAGAACTGTTCTTCGGCTGAGAATTGCTTTTGCCTTGCTCCTCGAGCCATTTATAGCAATTCTTCTTCATATGACCTTCTAGACCACAATGATAGCACACATGTGATCTCCGATCATCTGATTGCCTCCCCTTGCTTCTACCCCTGCTCTTCCCTCTGCCGCTTCTTTGTTGCTTGCCTTGTTGTCTTCCTCGATTCTCCATTACAAGGGCATGGGTCTGATCTGTGCCCATGTCTTTCCTTCTTGCCTCTTCATTGAATAAGGCATCCTTGACAACAGGACATGGAAAGTTTTCCGTTTGAGGCTGAATTGCTGAGAGTAACAACGAGTGTTTCCCAGCTATCAGGAAGGGAACTAAGAAGTAGCAGATATTGCATTTCATCTCCAAGCGGCATCTCCACACAAGATAGTTGATTTACCAGGCTCTGGAACTCACTGGTATGCTCGGCAACAGAAGTTCCACTTTTCAACTTCATATTGACTAAGCGCCTCATCAATAAGGCCTTACTCCGAGCGGTCTTGGCCTGGTACATGTCCTCCAGCTTCCTCCAAAGAACATATGCGTCGGTTTCTTGTGCAACATGATGGAAGACACTATGGTCTATCCATTGTCGGATTTGACCAATAGTTTTTCTATTGATTTTCTTCCATTCTAACGCCTTGGACGGATCAGGGTTAATACCCTTCAGCTCTATTGGGTCAAAGAGCTCTTTACAGCTGAGGAAATCTTCCATCCGAGTTTTCCATAGCGTATAATTGGTAGCCGTGAGCATAATCATAGCTCCAGAAGATGAAGTTGACTCTTCCATGGCCATTTTACACCTTCAATGATCTGTTTGGGACAAATCGAAGCTGTATTTTGAAAAATAGACAGCACTGTTGCGTCCGGAACAGTCAAAAATGGAGGGAAGGTTTTTTTTATTTTTTATTTTTTATTTTTTTTCTCGATGACGTGGCAGTTGACCGATGACGTGGTGGTTGACTGGGTGACGTGGCTGCTGACTGGGACCAAGTTGTTGGCGTGGCTGCTGACTGGGACCACTGACTTGGCAAGTGACTGGACTACTGATGTGGCAGCTGACAGGATTCTCCTTGCTGACGTGTCGATGACGTGTCAGATGATGTGGCGACACGTCATCATCTTCTTCCTCAAGAATTTTCTTTTTTCTTTTCAGAACTTCAGAAGGCTATATCTCTCAGCTCCGGTGTCTGTTTTTCGCCCGTAAGATACCGTTGCGACCGCCTCGACAAGACGAATCTAACGGTGTCCTCAGAATCAAATTTCGAGCACAACTCTGAAACTCGAAATTTCTACAAAAGCTCAGAAAAATTCAAAATTAAGCTCGAAAGCTTCAAACCAAGCTCTGATACCACTTGTTGTGGTATCATCCCAAGATCATACTCATAATTGAGAGAAAAATAAGTTTCTATTACTCACAAGAATAAAAACAAGAGATTTACAAACTCTAAACACAAAAAACTCTCAAACTCTCCACAACTCTTCTTGGTTGTATTTCAACACTCTCAAGGTTGATTGATCACACTCTTGGATGATTTGAATGAATAAATAACAAGCCTATTTATAGGCAAGATTGAGCACACCTTTGTTGATGAATGTGTGTGAATGAGGATGGTTGGTGGATGGAAGAAATTCTTCATTTGTGTGCTACAATTTGCATGGAACTTTCATAGCTAGTCATTGATGACTTTTGTGTGTTGCATGGAACTTTCAGTTGGTACTTTTATGATCTTGCTGAAGTTAGAATTATATAAGTTGGAATCAAAATGATTCGATTACAGTTTGATGAAACCAAATGGTTGATGAGCTTTTTCATGGTGCAGTTAGTGGCAGAGGTTAAAGAAAAGCTCGAAAAAGAACATAAGAATCTCCCAATTGGGAAGTACGGAAGAGATGACGAGGAGATAATCCTTTGGTTTTTGAAGGACCGAAGATTTTCAGTTGACGAGGCTGTCTCAAAATTGACCAAAGCCATTGTAACAATTATAAGAACTTTTCATATCATCTTNCCTAGAAAATTATATTGAAAACAAAAATAAAGAAAAATATGTTTTCTTGATTTGCATTGTAACGTCCCAAATCAGAAATAATATTAAGAATGGTTTCACTGCTCGACTATAAGTGAAATCCGAAATTTTCAGAATTATTCGAGTTATATTTTATATGCTAAATGCTCAAATATTGATAGATTATTCTTTGGAATTTTCTATGTTAAGTATAAGTCAAGATCAATCCATTAATTTGGGTTGATAAGTTATAGTTAATCGACTCGAGAAATTATCGGCTTCGAACCCTAGTTTGGTTCTGATTATTTTTCAAGTTAATTCTCGAGCCTAGCCAAGTCTTGATATTTTGTACTTAGAATAATTTTCTAAGTCTTGGAATACCAAGAAGTAAGCCTTAGACAATTTATAATCGAGCCTTAGAACATGCCGAGTCCTAATAGCATAATACTTAGAACTTTCTAAGTATTATGAAGTGCGAATTCAAGTCATAGACCTCGTTCGGAAAATCGAGAAGTTAACCGAGCCACTCGAGCAGCGACCCCGCCCAAGGCCCCAGGTCGAGGTCCGAGACCAAGCCTAAGTCTTAACCAACACTTGGTATATTTTTCTAAGTCATAGGGACTCAAGAAAAGCCTCAAAAATCGGTTCGAGTGTCATTCACGCGCCGAGTCCATGGTCCCCG